AACTGGGGAAAGTTTTGGCCAAAATTATACCTTAAAGATAATGCTGGTGTTATTTTCCCTCCCCACTTCTTGTGCTATTCGGATTGAACTCAAGGTCTTGTCACTGAACTATACACCCAGCCCCTTTTCGTTTATCTTGAGAGGGGGTCTGGCTAAGTCACCAAGTTGCCCAGACTGGGCTAGACCTGATCTTCCTACTAACAGAGGAGATAGGGCATGGCAAAGCTGACTGGGAGAAGGTGCAGGACCTGTCATCACAAGATTCCAGAGCAACTTGAGGACCCATATGTAGAACTTCTCTCCAGCTCCCAGAGATGTGCAGGGCATCAAAAGGGCCGGCCATCACAGAAAGCCACTATGCTGCATGAGTCTGCATGGTAACTCTTGCTGTGTCTGCTTCTGCTTTTACCCTTTTTTCTTTGTTCAGCCAAGTTCACTCTGCAGATCTTGTTCCTCCCATAGCCGTTTACCTCGCCCTTTTCAAGTAAACTTTTTGGCGCCCTTATTGGCTTGTCTCCTCCAATACTTTGTTTGAGGCAAGAAGAACCTGAAATACTTTTGACTGGCAAACCATTTCTAAAAAAATCACCATGTAACACTACCTCTGCATCCCAGAGTGCTGGGATTACAGTGTGCCACCATCCCTCGGTTGGTTTCTTCTTCCTCACTTCCTTAGCTTTCCTATACTAAACAGTCTGGAGGGGGAAACAAGGTGGTGAGAAGAAATGCAGAAAGAGCAAGGAGGCCTAAAAAGGAAAGGGAAAGGTCAAAGGAATTTCAGGCTAAAAGGGAACAATTTCTGAGACTCTTCGAATCAATGTTCTCAAAATTTTACCCATGGCCCTGAATTACACAGGTAATGCCTTAGGTAATACACTTTTCCAAAGCTGAATATTTATAGTCACTGCCATCTGAAGTGTTTTGATCCCCAACTCATTTGACTCTTGCACAGCACCAAATGTGATCTCTTGCCCTGCTTTCAAACTCTTAAAATATTTGTTCCCAAAAGATTGTCAAGTCTCTGAGGCAAATGGCTTTATCATGTGCCTGCCCCCTTCTTCACTGTGAGGGTCACAGGTCTCTCAATGAATCCACTGAATATTTTAACTCCCACTTTTTTTCCGGATCGCCCTTGGGATATGCATTCTGTAAATGTACACTCAACATATTTATGGTGAAAATCTAATGGCCTAGAGCCCAGCCAGTGTAAACACATTCTTCGTACTTCTGCAGGTCTGCACTCTAATGACAAAGAATTGCTTAGGTTTACAGAATAGAGTGGATTTCTTTTATAATGTATTCTAAATATTTAAAATCACCAAGTGAAAATTCTCTGGATTTTATGGTTCGAACAGTGCAAAGCCCAGATGATCTAGGTAGGCCCTAGATCTTGGGGCAAAACTGAATAGCAGACTCTGGGGATCAATCTTGTAGCGACCTACTACCACCCCCACCCTTGGCCTGTAGTACTGGCCTCTGAAGCTCAGTCCTGGCCCTACATCACTGTTCTACACTGACGTACTGTAAGCCAAACTCAAAGGGATTCTCAGCAAAGCAGGCCCAGAAAGGAAGGAGAGGCTACTCCCATGCAGGAGCAATCCCAGAAGCTGAGCGAGGTCCTCAGGATTCCCTTTCCAAAGACAATCCGAAGTAGCAGAGGCGCATTTGTGCTTGGATAGAGCTGTGTGCCGAGACAGAACCGCTTGGACTGGGGACTTTCGGAGGAAGGGAGCTAGGGCACGGATCACGTAGGGTCCTGGGAGTCCATCCGGCGGCCAGTGAGTCTACGTGGGATCTGCTTCCGAACCGCTGGCGTGGGGGCCAGCCTAGCGCGGCCTCTAGGGAAAGCTGGGAGCTTTGTTCCCCGATCGTGAATTCGGGAGCCGATCCCCGGCGCAAAGACTGCGTTTCGCGGCCGCACCGGTCATCTGCGCGGTGGGCTAGGCAGTCAGGCTCCACGGCCCGGAGCGCAGGCCGTGCTGGCAGCGCGCACCACGACAGCCTCGCCGCAGCGCCTATAGAGACTGCTTCGCTGGCCCTGCCGCGTCCCCCAGCTGACGCGGGCGGGCCCAAGCGCCCGCCACTCGGCTGAGCTGCCAGCCCCACATTCCATTTAAAAACAACACCCACGTGCGCTGGTAAACAAGCGCGCGCGCAGCCGGGACCGCGTGCCCCGAGCTAGCCTGAGGGGCGCGCGCGCCCGCCCTCCTCCCGCACGTGTTGCCCGGCTCCACCCGCGCGGCTCCGGGGCAGCCCAGACCCCGCCCCTCGCGGGCCGCGCCCCGCCCCCATCCCAGGGCTCCCGGGCCCTAGCGCCGCGCGCCGCAACCGTGCGCCCTCCCAGGGCTCTTCGAGTTTCCTCCGCCGACGCCCGCTCACCACGGAGGGACCCGCCACCTCGGGGATGCTCCTTTCTCCCCAGATCCGCCCTCTCCGGTCCGCCCTTTCAATCCTCCCGCCGTCAGCGCCCTCTCTCCCCTCCAGTCCTCTTTCCCCTCCTTCTTCGATTTTACTCGATTGTTTATTATTTGCTGTGGGGCGGGTTCGGGAGGCGGAGAGGGGCTTCTGGGGCCTGGAGACCGGTGGCAGCGGCCAGTCAGCGCGCGGCTTGGCTTGACGAGTAAGCAGCGCAGCGAATGGCGACGCAGCGCAGAGCTCCGGGGTCACGCGCGCGTGGAGACGATGACATCATCTGTTTGTACGCGTCGAACTAGCTTGGTGCAGGGGCGGGGCCGCGCGTCACTTGAGTGACGGGCCCTGCGCAAAGCCCGGAGCCTGGAGCCGGCGTGGTGGGCGAACTCGTGCGTCAGCTCCGCGGTTGGACCTTTTTGTGTATCGAGTTGTCGCGGAGCTCACTTCTAGACGGACATATCCACCCAGTGACTTAAAAGGAGTTTGTGAAAAAAAAAAGATATTAACCAAGTGGATAGACTTTGAATGGGCATGTTGCCATTTGGTGCATTTTAAAGATACAAATGAACGATACGGGGCACGGATAATAAGGACTTGTGCAGATGCTCCTTTACTTGTTCTAAGCAGAAGAAGGCCTGTTTCTTCTCTAAAAAGCCAGAAATGCAGAGTTAGCTGTTTTGAGGTTATTGCTTCTCGGCCTTTTAGCTAAGATCAAGTGTAGCTGTTTTGAGGTTACTTACAAATTAGAGTAAAATTGTTTTACACTTTCAGTTGTTTGGAATCCACTCTTAAATTTAGGGTACTTTCTTCCGGAGTTCCACTTTTCCCGAAATCCACGAAAAGCGAAACACGTCCAAGGTAAGGGACTCCGTGCACACCTTTTGGTGCCCGATCTAATCTGAGGTCATCAGTTTATCAAAGTCCTGCAGGCACCAACCTCTACGCCAGCCAGTATTTCCATGCCGAGGCAACCCTTGCCATCTGCGGTCAGCATCTTATCTCTGGTGTTACCCGGTGTAAGGTTCTACTGGGGAATCGGACACCAGGGCGGGCCGCCGAAGGCCAGGGACCCCTGGTGCCAGGCGCCTGCCCGGAATCTCCGAGGCCACGCGTGTGCGCTCACACCCCGCGCCCCATCCCCACTCTCCCGGGCCAGCGAGGTGCTTCGTGGTTGTAGAGGCTCCCGCTAGGGAGGAGGAGCCTGCTGAGCCCCGGCCCGTCGCGCGACCCGACACCCATGCCCGCAGTTCCGCGGAGCCGGGCCGCGCAGGCGCACGAGAGCCAGCACACACGCACGCACGGTAGCACACCCGGACCCCGCCCCAGCCCTCCCCCTGGGCGGGGATCCGCCCGCTCGCCGTCATCTTAGGTTGAGGCTCCCTGCGTGTGTCTATAACTTTGTGCCTCTGCTGCGGCCGCCCTGCTCGTGCAAGGGAGGAGGAGGAATGTGGGAGGTGGCGGCGCGCAGGCTGACAGGCGGTTCCTCGGGCGGGCTGTGGCGGCGGTCCGAGCGCCTCTCCTTCGCCAGGGTCGCGCGCCCTCTCCTCGCGCGATTGTGCGTTCTCCCGCCTGCTCCCTGAGGGGAAGGAACCGAGGTAGGCGCCGGAGCTGTGCAGCGGGGCGGCCGCTTTCCCAGCGATTCCAGATCTGCTTCCGAGCTGGGCCAGGCGCGTCCCTTGTTCCTCCCCGTGACTCGGTGTGCGCGCCCCGTTCCCTCCCGCTAGTGTTTTTAAAGGACTTGAGGGAAGGGGGAAACTGTCAAGATGGCAGCAGCGGGAGCGAGGAGGTTATGAACGTGCTGTCCGGGTTTTCTGGCAGCCCGGGAGACTTGGCGCTTCCCGACCTGTTGGAAGATTTATGTTCCGACTTGCTCCCACCCCGCCCCCCGTTCCTGTCTGGAAAGGGGGCGGAGAGCACCGCGTCCGCGAGAAAATAAACCACACAAGCCCCCGAAGTGGCCGTTCCCGGGGCTCGACCCTTTGCGAACACCCGCCGGGACGCCTGCCCCCTTCTTCCCTTCTCTTTTCCTGGAAGTGACGGGGACGTCTGCGCCCAGGCCCCGACCGCGGGCAGAGTGGGGCGAAGGGGCTGCCCGGGCCACTGGGCTGGGGGGTCGCGGAGGCGGCAGGGCCGAGGAGGGGCAGAAGAACACGGGCGCCACAGACTTTGGCGGCAGCGCCGCGTTAGGCACTCGCGCGGGCTGGAGCGAAACATAAACAAACGCACGCCCGCTCGGGCTCAGACCGCGGATCGGCTGTACGGGCGCTGCCACTGCCCACTTGAAAGGCGCGGCCCGCCCCTCCCCCCGCCCCGCCACCTAGCCTTGGAGAGACCTGCAGGGCTGGTGGCGGCGGGGGAGGGGGCTGCCCCGCGCGAGGCAGTCGATTCGCTCGCGTCTCCCCAGCGGCCCGGCCAGGGGGCGGTGTCTGCTGCGCCAGGTTCGCGGGACGCACGTCCCCAGGTCTGTTCCTGGAAGCGGCGGCGGCCGCGGCGGGCAAGGGCTCGCCGAGTACTGGGCTCCAGCCCCAGGATAATCAACTCTCCTTCTCTCGCGCGCGCTTCCCCAGGCGGCGGCGGCGGCGGCGGCGGCAACAGCGGCAACAGCAGCGGAGCCCCCGTCCCTCCCCCGCCGCACCCCGCCCGGGCACGAGAGAAGAGCCTGAGCCGCGGGCGGCGAAGATGGCAGAGACATCGGCCTCCCCGATCCCGCTCTCTCCTCCCGAAGTGGAGGTGGACCCCGAGTTTGAGCCCCAGAGCCGCCCGCGCTCTTGTACGTGGCCCCTGCAGAGGCCGGAGCTCCAGGCCAGCCCGGCTAAGCCCTCGGGGGAGACGGCCGCCGACTCCATGATCCCGGAGGAGGAGGACGATGAAGACGACGAGGACAGCGGCCGGACCAGCTCGGCCATGGCGATCGGCGGTGGCGGGAGCGGAACCCTGGGCTCCGGGCTGCTTCTTGAAGACTCGGCCCGACTGCTGGCTTCCGGAGGGCAGGACTTCGGGTCCGGGCCAGCTCCCGCGGTGGGCGCGCTGAGCGGGGGAACCCAGACGCCGCTGCAGCCTCAGCAGCCACTGCCAGCGCCGCAACCCGGGGCAGCTGGGAGCTCCGGGCAGCCGAGGAAGTGCTCTTCGAGACGGAACGCCTGGGGAAACCTGTCCTACGCCGACTTGATCACCCGAGCCATCGAGAGCTCCCCGGACAAACGGCTCACTCTGTCCCAGATCTACGAATGGATGGTGCGATGTGTGCCCTACTTCAAAGACAAGGGCGACAGCAACAGCTCTGCGGGCTGGAAGGTACGTACCCACCCTGGGCTGGCTGCCGGACCCGCCAGGCCTCCTGCGCAGCGCAAGACGCGCCCAGAGTTGGTCGGACCTAGCGCGCAGGCGGGCACGGGGGAGAGGGATGGCAGGGGAGCTTTCCCTGTGAGACTTTGTTGGGAGGGGGCTTCTCTTTGACCCTTGGGGGAGAGTAACCTGGGGACCGGCTTGGAGCTCCCGGGAAAGCTTCAGGCAGGACCAGATTTCGGGGGCCAAGGGACACTGACGAGGGAAGAACAAATAGGATTGCGTTTGCTGAATTACTGGGACAGCGGCAAGGTGGTAGGTCCCTGGCTAACTTTGGAATAGACTTTACCATTGTGGGGTGGGGTGGAGTGAAGGGGTTGCTTGGGGGCGTTTGGCACTCCATGCCAGAGGAGGGGCTGGATTTGTGGCTTCCAGTGGGTCGCAGGAACCTGGTGCTGGATGAATGACAACCCTTGCATCCTAGCTTCCGGATTGTGGGTGTTAACTCCCAAGGCACATCGATCCTAGTAGAGAAAGTAATGATTGTAAACCTTTTGTGCCTGGCTGCTTCTCACTGGGGCCAACACCTTTACTCCTCAGAGAGGTCGGTCCAGTCTGCCTGGGGTAGCCTCTGAAATGTTTTGGGGCCAGTCTTGCCACCTACACGTAGATTGGTGGCACCTGCTGCTCCCTCCCAGTCTTGGACTCTGGCACTGTTTGTTGACGGGTGTCCCATGTAGGGGCCTGGGCCTGCACTCAAGTGAACTCTTAGGTGAGAGGGAGGTTTGATGGCAGGACTGGGCCATAATGACTTCTACCTGTAGAAGAACCTGAGGAGAGACTCTCTACTGTTCCTTTTCAGCCTCTTGGGGCACCCGACACGTGGTAGGGAGAGAGGTGTGGAAAGGCCTATGATGTAATAACTTCCTGCAGTTGGGCATCCAAAGAGATTAACCCATTTGTCCCTGCTGGGCAGCAGATAGTCAAGTACCTCTTCCTGGGCACCTTCCTGGCTCCTACCCCCAAGATATGTATGTGCCAGAATCTGGCAGATGGGAGTCCTGGGAGTCCTGCGTGATAGGAAATCTCTTATCACTCTCTCCTATTTGCAGTTTCATCTTTTTTTCTTTTTAAATGAAAGAGGTAGTTGCTTCCTCCTTCTCTTCCTTAATCTTCAGCAGGAAACCCTGTGTCTTCCTGGGTTCCAAGCTGCCTAGTTGTATAATATAAGAACGCTGTAATCTTATTGAAGAATGGAATTGAGGCACTGGAGAAGAGCTTGTATATGAAAAAGCTGAAGAATTTAGAGAAGGAAACATTTTAATTTGCTTTTAGGAAAGCCTTGCAAACCCAGTGCCTGAGTTTCTTTTTTCACAGCTGGTATTGGAGAGGTCTTGTTTAGATACTTTAAAAGCAAATGATGTGCTTTGATATAAATGCCACAGATCTGTCTCATTTTTAAATGAGACAAATGCTGACATTATGAATCTTACAGTTGGTCTAATTTTACAGCTTTACAAAGGAATGCCAGTTGTGTGATCTGAGGGCTGTTTACAGAAAGCATTAAGAGTTTCCTGTCAAAGAATTGCTAATGTGATAACTTCAAAAACTGGGTTTCCAAGTGGCTGGCAAGGGTTAATCTCCATGTACAGAATCTGAGAAGATAGATTTAGTGATTTGAAGTGTTTTTCAAATTTCTTACACTTGAAATTAAGTCCTGCATGTTTGAATATGGTGTAGGGAATCTGTTAGTTAAAAATTAACTTTTAACTTAAAAAGTTAATGTAGAAAGAGTTTCTACTTTTCTAAGATTTTGAAGTAGTTGCAAAAGTAATTGAATTCCACAAGTAATGTTTATTGCTACTGTGTTTATAGTTAAAATAAGTTTAATAAATTTGATTTTTTTTAAACACTGGTGTGAGAAAGTGGTGTTACTAGAAGTAGCCATGAAGTGGGCTTGGGCTATATTTACTATAGCTTGCTGGATTGGCAGTAGAGATATTGGACCTAGTCATAGATGGCTTTATGTTATATCCCTTTTTTCTCTCTCTTGGTTTCTTTTTCTGTCCCTGCTATCTCATTTCTCTTCAGCTAAAAACCTTAGGATTATTCTTTGAAATATTTTTATCAGTTCCATTCTGGGGATGTCTCGTGGGAACTAATCCTTGAAGACAAAAGGCATATAATTTAGTTCCAGTTTTTGTAAGATGACCTTCATCAAAAGGTGCAGCCATGCAGGAACTTCCAAATCTTTGATGATGAAGTGGGCCCTTTGAAACTGGGGCTGGTTTCATATTCTGATTATGACTAATAGATCTTCCTTGTGCTTGTTGTCTAGTTGGGGTGGGAGAAGAGGGAAAAGGGAGAGGTCAGGAGCTAATTGTGACCCCATTTCCATGCATCCAGGTTTAGAAGTCTATCCTTGTCATGGTTAGTCATATTGGAAGCATGCATATACATTTAAACCACAGTACTTTCATTCTGAGTTATGCATTTAACTTCTAAAAATGTCTGGAATTCAGGTTAACCTCTTCTAGTCATTTATACGTACCGGGGTATATGCAGGGGCTAGGCCTTTACTTCTTTTGTGGCTTTTTGGGCAATTGTACAAGATCCTGTAGCCAGAATTATCACCCTAAGATGTCAGAATGAAAGAATTAGAAAAGGAGCCTTGGAGGCTGGAATGTAGACCAGTGATTCTCATCACCTGGTTGCACCCCAGAATCGTCTGGGGGTTTTTGAATAATACCAATACCCAGCGAATCTGATTTTATTGGGCCAATATGTGGCTTAGTGGTGGTGGTTTGGTTTTGGTCGAGGTTTCTCAGGTGATCCTAAAGTGTAATCAGAATGAAGTTTGGTGGTCTAGTTTAACCCTCTTACTTTATTGGCAAAGAAACCATTCTTTTAGGAGGTAATGATTTTTCTAAGATCACACAGCTAGTTAGCATAAAGGTAATTAGTAGTTGCATTTCTAGAGGTCTTTGTTCTTTATCATACTATTTTCTTTAAGTTGAAATTTTTAAAAAGTACTAAGTAATGGGGAGTGTTAAATAAGTAGGGGTTGCTTTCTGGAACAACACATTGCATCTCAGTCTGTGCCCTGCTTATTATTCCAGCATCAGAAGGACAGGCACATGTGAATGGGGTACCGTATTCGTGTAGCTGCACAGTGCCTTTTAGTGTGGGTGCTTAGGAACTACAAAGTAAGAAAAGCGGCAGGAGAGATAGCATTTTAACAAAAAGTGGAAGCCCTTGGTCAGTGTACATTTGTCAGATGCATACTGTGCCAGTGAGAAGGATGATGGCTATCTCACAGGTTCCCTTGCCTCAGACATTAAAGTAGAAATGAATAATAAAATGTGGTTATGAGGGGAAGAGGTTACATTTCCTTTAATTCAGATTAAGTTTTCTTGCAGTGCACACCTAGTTGAACTATCTAGTTCTCTCAGTTCCTCTTGTCTTGGGGAGACCTCTAAGGACTGTAGGGCTTACCAGGAAGCCTGTTTATCGCTTACCCGTCTGTCCATGCCGACACACTTACATTTCCCTTAGGTCAGAGCAAGATCGTATTAGGCAGCCATTGAGTTCCTGTAGGATACTGTGTGAAGAGGCCGTGGCTGCTGCTGCAGCAGAGGCTAATCATTGGAGCATGAGTCTTCTTTCATGTGAGAATGTGTACTTTTATGGCTTCTTGACAAGGTGAAAAGATGAGGGCTTACCTGCCATGTACTGCTTAATTATGTCCTTACTATTTTTGCTCTTCAGATTATTTCATCATACTGAATTAAGAAATGTTATTTTAAGTGTAACTTTGTTTTAAATTTATTTATTTATTTTTGGTACTGCGGATTGAACTCAGGACCTTGTGCTTCTGAAGCAGGCACAGTGCCACTGAGCTAAATCCCTGGCCCTTAAATTTATTTTTAAATTTCAGAATGATCATGTCAACTTAATTCTACATTGGCTGATAATTTTGACCTCTGTCACCTTTTGGAGTAACTCACCAAAGGTCTAGTTACGATTGTGTGTGAAGAATCTGTCTTTTGCTTCCCTGTGTTGCCAAAATGCTGTTTTGTAATTTCCTTTGGCAGTACTGTCTTCCTCAGTGATTCTCTACTAACATACTTCCTCTTTCTACAGCAGCAGTACACTAGGGGGACTGTTTTTCCTCTTTTTGGAAGCTGTGTCACTGACCTATGAAGTGAAGAAATTGGCCCTTTTAGTCTTTGATCTGTGAGCCTATGTAGCAGAGAGACTCTTTAAAAAAGAAGCCAAATGTGTGTTTTCATGTGTTTATTTCCTTCTCAGAAAATGAAATGAAACTATAGCAGACTTATTTTTAGGAGATTTTAGGAGGGTTCTATTTTAAGAAAATGACACCATAGAAGAACATCTTGTACTTAAACTTTTTAGTATTCTGTTTGTGAGTCTTACTTAAAACCTCTACCACATATTTTTGTTTGGAAAATTAATGAATAGGCCTTGGCCAACTAAAAAGTTATTTACTTAGGGTGCCAAAAAAAAAATTAGCGGGCACCATCCTTCTGAAGCTTTTGGTGACAGTGCAAAGATAAGATTGTGTAGGACTATGCATTCTGTGAGTACCCTTCTTGCCTACTGCTGGTGCCTCAGATCCCAGATTTTTGGGGCTGCAGAGAAAATGGAATTTATTTTCTTGCTCACTTGTCTTGCTTGTGGGGAACAAACCTGATCCTCTTCTGGGCCCTTCTTTTCTCTCCTTTTTCTGCCTCACAAATTGAGGGGTCCCAAGGAACCACTTCGTTTCGTTGTTGCTGTAGAAGGGGCTTGGAAACATACATATAAAAGTAAGTTAGGGGCCCGGGGATTTAGCTCAGTGGTTCCGGTGCCTACCTTGCAAGCACAAGGTCCCGAGTTCAATCCCTGGTACCAAAAAAAAAAGTATCACTGAATGTTACAGCTGGTGTATAGGAAGTGAATAAATGATGGCAAAAAGAAAAACCTTTTTTACCTGTCTGCATCACATC